CGGGGGGCGGGGCGGGGGCGGGGGGCGCGGTGCACTGCGATGCCCTCCAACGACGACACTCTCGTAACTGACCCGGCCTCTCTTACGAACGTAAATGGAGCAGAGCACACGCCGGCTAGTACACTCATAGTGGCCTCGACTCTGCAGCGGGGGGGAGGGATGCGGTTGATGGTTGTGGTGGGACGGCAGCGGTGGGCTCAGGGAGAAACCATGCCCGCTTATCATCCGAAATTGCCCATTATTGCCCAGCCACACACGGCCTGACGACACCCCGCACACGCAGCCGCAGCACCCGCCCGTCTGCTGCTCATTGCATATGGGAGTCATTGTCCGCCACGAAACAAAAAATGCAGTCTGGCAACAATGGCCGTCTAGTCTGGACGTTTTCATTCTATTCTCAATAACCAGTGAGAGGTTTTCAACACATTTCTATGAAAACACACCGAAAAAAAAAAACAATAACAGTCACAAAAACAGTGACAAAAATGCTAGCACATCACTCGAAATCCCCGCCCTGGTCCTTCCCTGGCCGAGTGACACTGCTCCACCCCCCCCCTCCCTTCTTTCCCATTCTACAAACGTGCATAGAAATGCGCGAGACATCTTGTCAGCTCTTTATTACTGGCGGAAACCGGGCCGAGAGGGCCACCAACGCGGGGCGGAGTGGATGAAAAATGACGACGCGCACACGTTATATTTCCAGCCAGGAGTGGATTCATTCGTATTCGGCCCACTGGCCGTGGTGCCTAAAGGCCGTGCCTAAGGGCGGGCCGCACCCGCTAAAACCGTTCCCTTAGGCTCGGCACGGTCCCGCGCAAGAGCTATGTAATGCCGTTATGATATTTTTATTTTTTCCCCCTTCCTCCAGATTATAATTTCTATGCGTATAGCAGTTGGCAGGCCTGGCCAGCAGCAGCGTCATGGGTCTGTGTTGTATAGGGGTTGCATATATAGGGGAGACGGACGGCGGCGGGGTTATGGGGTTCTATGAATCACGTCGACGACGGCGTGCAAATATATATATACATCGCGAAAACGTTCGTACACCGCGGTGCTCACGCGACGCCGCCGTGGCACCACTTTGCCGTCGTAAGCCCGAAAATTTCGTCCAAGTTTGGACGTAAAAGCTGGTCGACGTCAGAGTTATGCAGATGACTCCGTCGTCGTCGAGCTGCCCCCCGCGGGGCCGCGGGGAGAGAGACCGAGTTCAACCATACATATGGCGTCCTCTGGGAGTCTGCGGAGCAGGGCCGCTTGAGCTGGAAAGTCGGTATGAGTCTGCGGCCAACACGGACCCCGCGAAGGGCCCCGCAGGCCCCGCAGCAGGCCCCGCAGGAGGGGGGTTGGCTGGGACCGCCCCTGGACCCGCCCGGGGACGGCGGGCTCACCCGGGCTCACCCATCTCAGGGGCCCGTCGCGACGGGTCGGCCCGGTCGCGCACCCACGCACGCACCCACACACACACACACACACACACACACACACACACACACACACACTCAGAGGACACCGCGCCGGATAGCGCTCTGCAACATCGGGTCCCGGCGCGCCCCCGCTCCGCCCCGCCCCCGCCCCTGCAGCCCAGATTCCTACTTTTCCAGTGCCTAGGCGAGATGCGGCGCGACCAGGCTGGCGGGCGAAGGGTGTGTGGGGGTGAGGGCAGGAGGTGGGGGGGGGCAGGAGAGGCGGATGGGATTTGAGGGGAGGGGCTGCAAGATGGGGTGGGGTCGGGAAATTGAGGCACCATGCCGGTGGGGCGGGGCATGGCGCGGGGCAAGGGTACGTAAGGGGGAGGGTGGGAGGGGGGAAGCTGTAAATTACGTCTAACACGGGAGTGCCCTCGCTAGCCTGTCCGCGGCCGGAGCGCGCTGCTAGAGCGTTGTCACTGTAATGGTGGTGGGGGTGGAGAGGGGGGGGGGTGAGAGGAGAAGCTGGGCTTCCCTCGGCAACTGCCCGCGTCGCGAGCGAGGCCCACCGGCGCACCCCGCTCACCGGAGTGGCGTGGCGCGGAGCGGCCGAAGCCCGGTAGGGCTGTGACTGTGACACTTTCGCTGTGCTGTATCGGTACGCGCCGACCTGTCACCCCGGCACTCCTCCGCCCCCGCCCCCGCCCCCGCGCCTCTCTCCCGTGCCGCGTCTGGGGCGGGCAGGTCTGCGTGGCTCCGACTGCCCAGCACGCCGCCGGCCGAGTGGCATGTCGCTGAGGGTGCCGCACTGGTGGAGGCAGGCAGCAGGCAGTTTGACGCTGGAGCTGGGGCCGGGCGGGGTGGTTTGAGTTGTCGCCGACCCGTGTGTATTTTCCGCGGTGCATTTTGGTGAGGTTTTGTCGCCGGCGGCGTGCGTGTGTTTCGATACGAATGCGATCTTCTTGGTGGTTCGTTTCGACGGTCGGTCCTGCCGGAGAGGAAGAAGAGGGGTCACCCCGCTGAAGAGGAAGAGTTGTCGTCGTGCTGCAGAAGGACAAGAAAAGAGTCGCCGTTGCTGGAGAAGGATAGGAGTCGCCCGCCCTGCCTCCCCTTGGCGTCCGGTCCCCTCTTTTTGCCGGTCTTCCCTTGTCCGGCGGCCGAGCGAAGGGACAGAGATTGATTCAAGAGCCAATCGCACATTCAGTCCCCCCGCGGGGCGCTGCCCTGCGCCACGCCGCCGAGGTCGAGGCCCGGGGGCCCCCGCCGCCGCCGCCCGCTCGCCACCCAGACCGAGGGAGGACTCCTCCCGGAGGAGGGCCCCAAGGACCCGAACCCGAACCCAAACTCCTGCGGTTCGCGCGATCCTCCTCGAGGCCCGCCGCCAGCACCACGGACCCGACCGCGACCGCGAGATCGGCATCCTGATCGCAGCGCCTACCCAGAGGGCCGATAGGACCATGAGGGCGACGCTCGTGCTCGCGAGCCTGCTGGTGCTCCTGCCCGTCATGGGCAGTGCGTGCTTCCGCACGCTGCACAGGGCGCCCTACGAGACGTACTGGTGAGTACACCTCAAGTACACCCCAGCATGACGCGTCGTTCGTGTTACTGCGACGTGAACACTGTGAGTTTTTTTCGCGGCGGTTCATTTGAGCTCAGGAAATGGAAATGAGGTGTTTGTGTGGCCGTGATATGAGCGCATTCCCGTTAGTCATATACAGTGTGGGTGTCACCCACTGGGTGATTCGCCCTGGCTTTTTTTCTTTTCTTTTTTTTCTGATACTGTAACTGTACCGGAGTCAGGCGTGCGGACGGGTTGCCTACTCGGACGGGGCCGTAAGGCGCCATGGCGAGTGACGGTAGGCAAGCCCTCCCGCACGGTTTAATCCGGTAGTATAAAGCACACACGTCAAAAAATAAAACAAACGAATAAAAAAACGGGATGGAACACCCACACCCACGTTGTAGTTTCCCGGTGAGATATTTTCACCAACCAGACTAAAAATGGTTTTTCAGCTGAGTTAAGTGCCCCTCCCTCTGAACTGGCGACTGGCGAAATTTCTGGTCTTTCTCTCCACTAGTCTGGCCCTGGCCTGGATTATCGTTAACTAAGGCACTGTTTGCGTTACAGGTTGGGCACTTACTATGAAAGCCGTTTCCTAAGCGTGACTTGTTTCGTCCTGAGAGGATTCCGATGGACCCTGAAGTTCATCAAAACGACGTATGAAGGCTGGCATGTAGAGATGGAGTATGCCAAGTGTATATCAGACACCTATGGCATGAACATCCCTTTCTTCTCACCTCCGTGGGGCAAAAATGCGAGGATGATGACCGACTACTCTGCTGCACGGAGTGAAGCCGTGGACTGGCTATCTGAAGTACCGCCACCAAGACAGCACTTCCCAGACATACCGCAACTAACTAAAAATGATGTGGAACAACTTATTACTTCATTGCAGCCATGGTTTCCAACGAATGACAAGATCCCAGACATTCATTCAAGCTCCATTGCACTTAAAGACGACGGGTCAACACAGGAAATTGTAAGGATAGCAAACTCCCTTTATCAAATATTTCTCTCTGTTCTGAAGGAGATAGAAAGCCTATTTTCAAGAACATTAGGTGTCGGACTCTTCTCCTGCACCAGGAAGTATGTAAGAAGTGCATTCTGGAGATGGGTTGACTCAGCTCCATTTTAGAGGTGATAAGAATGTCTTATAAAAACTGGATATGATCTTCTTGTTGTACTAGTCATGCATGATAGTTGAATGATGTAAGAATATACAAAACGTGAGGTGTATATATGTGATACAGGGCAGTAGCTTTTAGCCTAAAACAACTTTCATTTTTTATAAATAGACTTCAATTTAATAATAGAGTTGAAATAAACTTTGATATTTCTTGGATAATTTGCCATTTTAACTACACATGTGAACACTACATTTTTTTGTGCACATACAACAAGTTTGAGGCAAGAACCAGTTTCAAACAACATGTGTTAGACTCAACAAGATCTCGTTTAAGAAGATGAGCGATGCAAAAACAATTTTCCCTAACAGAGAGACAGTAGAGATCTTTCCCACCTACCAACTAAACAAAAGATATAAACTGGGAGCCGCAGTCACTCAAAAAATACAAAAGTAAACAACCAGAGTAAAAGAAAATTACAAAACTGCTCCTTCAACATGACACAGCTGGGTACAATCCTACCCAACAGTTAACTGTGTTTATAATTTATCAACTGTGTCAGTGAATTAGTGAGCACTTTTCAATTGTACCATTTGCAAACATAATAAATATAACTCTATTAACAAAATAGCTATGTATCTAAAATTCCTAAAATAGCAAGTCTAATTAACAATCACATAAAATTAATGTTGTAAAAAGAGTAAAGAGCATTATTATAAAGTTTTCATTATTATTTCAATAGAAAATAATCCTAATACAATCAAAAGCTAAAAAGAGACAGATGTAAATATTCCAAGACTCAAGCAATATAAACATTGACATTTCTTTTTCAGGATTGGAAACAAGGAAGTTATAATGCACATGAATGTAGGGTCACTAGCTGAACCTCACCAACAGTTTAAGATAATTATTCTGTAACACCTAAAGAAAGAGGAGTAACTATTCCTTAACTCCTAGCCTGTGCTGTCTGAAGTACTCTGGACATATTTCATTCAACATATCAAGATCTACTATTGACAGCTGTCGAATGTAACACTGTGAAGTATGCACAACTTCAGAAAATAAAATGTAGTGAGGCAAGGTTTTATGAAGAACTGATGAAGGATGGATTCGTACTCTTTGCTTTGAATCAACCTGTAGAAAAATACCATGACATTGCAATAATTTGAGGGAGAAGAGAAATTTTTACTTAAAGCAACCCGTAACTAAAACCGCAACTGCTCTTACCAGAATGTACTTTTTGTCCCTTTGAAGTTCTGCAACGTTCATGAAATATCCACTAACAAGGCTTTTCCGAACTGACTCAGTATTTTGTCCACAACTACTAAGAGGAATGTCATTTTGTTGACAAATTTGCGACAGCTGTTTGCGAATTTCAGAAGCAAACAATAGATTTCTGTGATTTAAGTAATTTTCTGCACATGATTTCTGGAAAGAAAAAGAAAATTATAATCACGGGACAGGAGACAGGTCACAAAGAAAGACATATAAAAATCTTAACAGTTTTACTTACCTTTTGGGTTTTGAATGACTTAAAAGCATGGTACACATTCAATAATGTAATATGATCTCCTTCTGAGGAGAAAAACTTTTTGTGGCATTCATTAGCTTCCTCGCGATTATTTAAGGAGTTTATAAAGACTGACTCCGCTGACAATAATGATACCACAGTCAAGATCTCTTCCCTGAAAACATAATTGTATGACTAGATGTTACACAGACACATGGCAACAACAGTGTTACATATTTTTCATAGACATACACGCAATTGTATGTTTTAGATGAGATTAATATTTTACTCAATCGAGGATCCAGAGGGAACTGAGCCATTTTTTTGCCTAGAGGAGTGAGCCTCCTTGTTTCCTGTCCGTCTATAGCTCCCAGGAGTTTGAGTTGAGATACTGCTGAATCTAATGTCTGCAAAAAAAGGTGATGGCAAGAAGAAATTAATTTTTCTTTGTATTTCTATGGTAAATTAAAGTAAACCTTATTCAAAATGTGTATCTACATTCCTTACCTCTTGAGATGGTTTGTCCATAAAATCAAAGTTATAAGCATCAATGCCAAGGTGTAATAGCTGCAGCATTACACTTGCTAAATTACATCTCAAGATTTCTGGGGTAGTAAATTTAGGAATGCTGTTAAATTGCTGAAATTAAAGAAAACAAAGTATTGGAAGGACAAATACACTTGAAATGGATAACATTATCTGTTGTAATTTGAAATTTAATTTAATTACCTCTTTAGTAAACATACGATAACAAGTACCAGAAGACTCTCTGCCTGCTCTACCAGTTCTCTGCCAAGCTTGTTCTTGGGAAACTTTTTGAACTTTTAGCAAGTCAAGACCTGTGCTTGGCTGAAAAACTCTTTAAAAAAAAAAAAAAAAAAAAAAAACTTTTGAAATTGACCCAAAAACCATAACAGAAAATTTAATGAAACAAACCTTGCTTTTACATGTCCACTGTCAATGACATATTTGATTCCTGGTATAGTAAGGGATGTTTCTGCCACATTGGTACTCAAGATAACTTTTCTCTCATTGGGGGGAGAAAGACGGAAAACATTTTCCATCAAGTGCATTGGCATTGCTGAGTACAAAGGAAATACTCTCAAAGTCTTCTTGCATTCCTGAAAAGAAAGTAAAACCAATTCAAGATACCATGAAAAAATAATCACACAAACTCCAATATAAATTAATGACAGCAAAAAAAAAATAAAGATAGATACATACCTTTGAAGCAAGTCTTACTGTATGCACAACACTTTCAATTTCATCCTGACCAGTAAGGAAAACTAAAATGTCACTGTAATCACAACATTGAGATTAGACATTAGCGGTAGATAAAAATATCAGGTGCCCCAAAATAATTATTTCCTACCCAGGTGGCTCTTCAAGGTGGATCTGAAATATGGTCGAGAGGCAGCTCTGTAGGTAGTCACTTTGAGGTTGTTTGGCATTTAGTATATTGACAGGATATTGTCTTCCCTCAAGGTAAAGGACTCTTGCATTATTAAAATATTCACTGAAGTGGTCCACATCCATTGTTGCAGACATAATTATCACCTTATGGAACATAATTTGGGTTAAGTGGAAGATGAAGAGAAGTAATGAGCTTTTCAGGTGTTCAGATAATGTTTACCTTCAGTGGTGGTTTTGAGCCTTCCATACGAAGTTTCTGTGCTTTCTTTACAATGCCAAATAATACATCAGTGTTTATACTGCGTTCATGAGCTTCATCCAAAATGATAAAAGAATATTTCATTAAAAGCTCATCTAAAAGAAAAAGAAAAGAAATCTTATTAAGGTAGAGTTTAAGAACATATTGTTAAAGGGGAGTTCTCTATGCACAAAATTGTAAATTTCAACAACCTAACATAGCTTCACGGAATAGCATGCCATCAGTCATGTATTTAAGTTTTGTTGAAGGAGAAGTTACATCTTCAAAACGTATAGTAAATCCTACAGTATCTCCGATCTGTACATTCATTTCCTTTGCAACTCTTTTCGACAGAGAGACAGCAGCTACTCGACGAGGCTGAAATAAAACCACAAGATTGTCTTCCACTACTTTCACAAACACATGATTTAAATTTGTCTGTAACAAACCTGGGTTATAGCAATAATGCCATTCTTTTCCAGTTTTGCCTCATGGATAAACTGAGGAATTTGGGTAGTTTTACCACACCCAGTTTCTCCAATAACAATCAAGATAGAATTTTTCTGAATTTCCTCCAATAATCTGCAAATCAAAACAACAAAGTTTTTCACAGTGTTTTAAATTCAATATATAAAATAGTTGAAATGTTGCTTACCTTGACCGAATAGCAAATATTGGGAGCTTCCTACGTTCATGACTGATCAAAGCAAAACGTCCAACGTTGGCACGGTTCTGATTTCCATCTGCAGTTATAACTCCAGGTGTGTTTGGTTTCTGCTTTTTGGCGGAAGGATTGTCAGAGCTATTATCATCAAAATTGACCACAGCAGGCCTCTTCTTATTTTTGGCAAATGGATTTGGTGAGCTCATAATTTTCATATTTGCCATTTTAGTGAATCGTCTGTGATAAAAATTTAAAATATTTGACAGGGTTCAAAAGATGAGTAGAGGGCTTCTACGTTTTATCAAAATATGTGCAATGTGTTTACCTTATCACATGTAATGAGGTTATGAATTGTGAGTATTCCGTTGCCACATTTAGGCTACTAGTCCTCCTAAATCACGGTTGACAATAGTGAGAGGGTGTCCAGGATTTTCTCAATTACACACAGGTGTCAACATGTAGAGCAATTTGGAAATGGATCACGCAATCACGGACCCGCTTTCACGCTTTGACCCACGTTGGATATTGGCCACTACGGCACCTTGGTTTGGGTAGTAAACAAAACAATGCGCACCGCGTCTGCGCGATCGTCTCGTCTGCCGTCTCTTCTGCTGCTGCTGCGCTGCCTTCCGTGTTCCGTGTTCGTTCAGAAGAGTGCTGTCTGCTGCTGTCCGCGCTGGCGGTGCTCGTCACAGCTGAGCTGGATAAAGGAGACCTGTGACCTGTGTGCACATCCCTTGTCACGTCGCTACAACGCACTTTGTGGGATGACTTAGGCCCCAGCCGGGTGACAGCCCTGTCAGGAAGTCAGGACTTGTCGCAGTGCCACGCCGCGTTCTGGTCGCTGATGATGCTCCATGACCCGTCGTTCTGCCCCAGGCGCAGGCCACTCGGACGCGGCGTTCCTGCTGACAGATCACGAACTTTCAAGTGGTCGTCCGAACTCCACTGCAATCTATCTGGCACTTCCTGATTGCTGACCCAAGTGACCTCCTCATCAGAGGGTAGATTCGCGCGCGGTGCGAAATGTGACATTCTATTTGTTAATGAGTAAGGCTGTCAGACGTGTGCGTCTGATATTGCATCACAGACACATCAGCTCGTACAGGTCAGTCATCCCCCCGCTTCCCTTAGGTTATGTTACACAATGATATAGGTGCTGCATTATTTTTCTCTCTTTTGGCCGATCGTTGTGTTTGAAGAAAACCTGTCTGTTATCTGATTATATCTATTTTTAGTTTCAGACTGTCATCAATATGGCTGATATGGACTGGAAAAAGAGAGTTGGTGTAAACATTAATTACAATTCAGACAGTGATGGAGAATCTACAAATGTCATAACAGAGGAGAAAAACGGTGACACGTCTCCAGAAATTGAAGGCAAAGTAGGCCAAAACAGCAGCGCTGAGTCCAGCTTGGATGCCATTCTGCACAAGTACGAACAGTACGGCAGCACACCGCCTCGAACAAGATTGTCAAGGCATATGAGGGACTGGAAAAGAAAGGAAAAAGAGGTTGATCGCAAAGAAAATCCTCCTCAAATCAAAATGGCGAGACGCAATACATTTGATGCTATGTATTTGGATAATAGTGACATTGCTGAAAGTGATAGCGAACAACCTCCTGAACGCATCTGCAAGCGATTTATGAAGATGTTACGAGGATCCGAACGAGATATGAAGCTGGATCTCACTCACTCTCCTGACATTCACTCATTTTCAGTTGACAGTGGTGTTGATAGAGCAGATAGAGCAGAAAGTGTTCCGCTGGGCACGCAGCCTGTGATGAAAGTTGAGAGCTCCAATCGGTTCATGAGTTTAACATCCAAACTTGTTGCTTGCCACAATGTGAAGAAAATGAAACATCAGTTTCTGAGTTCTATGAACTCACGCCAAGAATTGTACAATCTGCTACTTCCATTCAGAAGTGGTCCAGAAAATATTCCTGACAAACTAGCTACACGACAATTAAGTAATGAAGAGTTTCGCTGGCAAAATGAACTGAAAGATCTCATATGGCTAGAACTTCAGGCTTGGCACGCCAGTCGATCCTTAAATGACCAGGATGAGTACTTATGCAAGGCTCGAGAGGAAGTTGAAAAACTTCTTCATGATATCATGGTGTATCGCTTTGACTGCGATCTTACTACTCATCCACATTATAATGAAGCTTGTGATACTGGGCGCTGTCTATCTATGTACTGTGAGTTTTGCATAGAGAAGCAGAACACTGCTATCAGAGAAATCGAGAGACTTAGCAACAGGCTTGAACAAGCTGAGTCTTTATTTTCTTCAAGCAAAAACTTTGCAAACACATATCCTCTGTATAAGGATGAACATTTCACGGCAAGAGTGAAGTCAATGTGTCTTTGGCTGAACATGACCAAACAACATCGTCTGAAGATGCTCATATTGGGCAAACTCTTCATTTCACGCACTGCTCAAGCGTGTTTGTGGCCAGGACCAGCCCCAATGCTAGGGCCAACAGACACAGATTCTGGAGTTGGTTCAACAAATGGAACAAATACTGAAGGCGAGCAAGACTCTCCACCTGTAGAGGAAAGCCACAGGAAGAAATTGGAGTGGAAACCATCTGTGCGATTTGATACAGAATATACTGGGTCCAGCCCGTCAGATTCTGCTAGCTCTGCTAGCTCTCAAAGCATTTATGAAATGCCAGATGTTGTTGACTACAGTTCAGCACTTGCTACAATTAGTCAAACAATTTGTCCACACAAAAGGGATAAGTCATCTCCCTACCGACTCTTCATCGAGGAGGTATTAAAGACAAAAGGATTGCGAAAATCCGTGCGCTTTTTGGAAAGGCTACACCGTTATACTCTAGTCAGATCTTGTGTAACTTTGGAAAAACCGAGTGAAATTCCCATTACAGATGATAAGCCTTTTGAATGTGCTCATGAAGAAGAGCTAAGACGACATGGATTTTATAGTCAAGAAATGCAAGAGATTGGTCTTCCTTCATATCATTCTTCATTTCTTTTCCTTGCAAGGATTCCTCTACGTCTTATTCACGAATATTTAGACATGAGGCTTGAGCAGCAGCCAGAGAAACCATCTGATCTTTGCTTGAGGCAGTTGATGAGAGAACTGAAAGAAGGCCTTCGTCTGGCAGTCTTGTTCAGAGAACGTTTTACTTTCCTAATTATTCATGCATTCCGTGATGTAACATTGGACCATGATTTGTATGAAGATGTCCATGAGTTAGACAAAAGCTCCCGCAGTGTCTTTCAAATTTATCTTGATTACTTGCAAAGGTGGTGCCATTTGGTAGAGCAAGAAAGCTACCAGAAGTCTCTGCTTGATGAAGAGTGGATTTTTGCAAAGCAAGTGGCAACTCAAATACCATCTGGTGTCAGCATGGTTGCTGGGAAGTTTTGCACTATTTCAAAGACTATGCTACGTAACCTTGGTGATATGCTTACTGATCAAATTAATGGTCTCACCAAACCTCTCTGTGATTCAGGAGATGATTGCAAAGATCAGGTAACCAAGCAGTCAATTTTGACTTTATGTAGGGAGTTACAGTGTGTCTTTAATGATATGAGAGAGCGGTTCCTGAAAGCTTTTAATTTTACAAAAACATTGAAAAAAGATGTTGAAGCAATGGGTTCAGAGTACCATTCTTGTTTAGATGCGTTAAAAGATGAGGCTTTACATCTCTGCAAAATTATTAAACTTGCCATGGTATCTGTGGAGAACACGTGGTGTATCACAGATTCGTTGGATATTGATGCTATGGAAAATGAGGCTGTTCAAGCAACGATTAGAGAAACATTGCACCAGGGATATAAGTTTGGCTTTGAGTACCATAAAGAAGTCTGCAAAAATGTGACAGGAGAAATCAAACCTTGTGTCCCCAAGGTACTACTTGGATTTGCCCTTATGTGGATGAATTTTGTGAAACAAAGATGTGAACGAGGAAGGGGTATGAGACCCAGGTGGGCCAACCAAGGCCTAGACTATTTGTTAATAGTATGTGATACAGAAAATACCCAGTACCTTGCTGAAACTGAGTTTGAAGAACTGAAGATGCGAGTTCAGGATGTCACTCAACACATCATAGGGAATTTCCAGCCGGATCCAATTAAGGACATTCGGACTGCGGATTCTTCAAGAGCCAATTCGCCTACACCCAGACCTAGATTCCGGCTTCCACGTTCACCTCATGATGGCAATGTTCGACTTCAGACTCCTACAAGAAAATCGAGCATCAATACACCTTCAGATGGCAGTGTTGACTCTCCATCACCTCAAGAACGCAAAAATGTTCTGCTATATGTTTGTCCAAAATCGAGAATGGAGCGAGTACGCTCTTCAGTGGACAATTTGGAGAGAAATGTTGATCACAAATTAAGAACCCAGAATCTTATTGGATATGTGACGGCAGTTCACAAAGAAGACAGAGTGCATATTCGCTTGAGACAGGTTAACTTTAGCTGGCAAAGAGGTATAAAGATTGGACAAGGTAGCTTTGGCAAAGTTTATACCGCTGTTAATAACCAAACAGGTGAGTTAATGGCCATGAAAGAAGTACAACTGCAGCCCAATGATCACCGTACAATTAAAAAAATTGCCCAAGAGCTAGCCATTTTTGAAGGTATCCAACACAAACACCTTGTCAGATACTATGGTGTTGAAATACATAGAGATGAAATGCTTATTTTCATGGAGTTTTGTGAAGAAGGCACTTTAGAGACATTAGTTGCCGCCACCAGCAATGGTTTACCTGAGCCTTTGGTTCGTCGCTTCACTCTCCAATTAATGCAGGTGAGTTCCTTTTGTTTTTCTTCTGTTGTGGTTACTAAAAAGATGCTTATTTTGTCACTATAGTTATCTTTTAAAATAAAAATTACAGGCTGTCCAGACTCTCCACTGCCATGGAATAGTCCATCGAGACATCAAAAGTGCCAACATTTTTCTAACAGATGAAGGAAATTGTTTAAAACTCGGAGACTTTGGCTCAGCTGTGAAAATTAAAGCCCACACTACAATGCCAGGTGAATTGCAAGGTTTTGTTGGAACACAGGCCTATATGGCCCCAGAAGTTTTCACAAAGATGCACACTGAAGGACATGGGCGAGCTGTTGACATTTGGTCTATTGGTTGTGTTGTTGTTGAAATGGCCAGTGGGAAAAGACCATGGGCAGAACTTGATTCCAACTACCAGGTGAGTTTTAGATAGATTGAAGTCACTCATGCTTGATCATGATACAATTCACTAACATGCTTTACTCCTATCTTCTTTACACAGGTCATGTTCAAAGTTGGGATGGGTGAATCACCAGCCATACCCCCAAGTTTATCAGATGAGGGCTACGACTTTGTTGATCACTGCTTGCAGCATGATCCTCAACAACGCTACACCGCAGCTGACCTACTCCAGCACACCTTCTTGAAAGTTGACGGAGAGGAGCCGCTTCTTTCCCTTCTTCCATCAATCATCGATGACTATGGCCATTTTGGTAATACCAAGGCCTAGGTGAATCAGTTTTCATGCTTTATTTTCTGGTCTATTCGTTCAGTTTCAGTTTTCTTTGTCACTTGTTATAAATGTACTTATGGATAGCATATCTTTAATCACAGTTTGTGAAACAAACTGTCATGAGAACACGTGTAGTTTTAATTTTTGAGACTATGGGAGTGGAACTTCCTATGAAAAACTTTATGAGAAAATGTTAATGTTATTACATATATACTTTTATTCTGTATTTTATAAATGTTTTAATGTTTTTTCTTCAAATACAGTAATGGTATTATTGCTGTTACATGTAGTACATCGTTTTTTGACATAGATTTTAGATGTATTTTAATAACCATTACGTATGTTTTACTAGAAGACCGCTTTAAGCAAAATCAAACAATGCATCTCTTTGACTATTTGCTGTTACTTAAAAAATGACATGTTTTGTTGTTGTTTTTTTACATTAAATGGGTAGCTAATTAGGACTATTACTTATTAAACAGTGCAGAACAAATATTTTATCCTAGATGTTGTATGGTGTATTGTAGCATAAAATGTCATGCCAAAATGGTTTACCATATTTGTAGGTTCAGTAATCATTCCTTTTTGAGGTAAATGTTGGCTTGAACATTCCCTTACTTGTACAAATTAAAGTAGTGGCTGAGTTTTCCTGTCGTGCTGATAGCTGTTGTGTAATCCAATCTATCTTAAGTATAAAAATGTTAATTTTAATTCTGTGCTACCACCCTGGTTGTAACTGGTTACAATCATGTGAATGCATGATGCATTCATTGTATTGTACATGCCTTTTCTTTTATGCACATTCCCCCTTTACTATCAATTTTAAAACTTGTGTGATTTACAGATCCTTGTTTTTTTTATTACTAGGTACATAACCACCATAGCTTGAAAACAGAAAGTAAATGTAATAGTATGCATGCCAGAAAAAAATACAACCAGTGGCATCTCTTAGTAAAATACCTGTCATATCACCCAATATCAGGGTTGTTGTATAATGTTATTGTATGTGTCTGTAAATTTTGATACTTCTGACTTCAACAGCAACAATGGATCTTATCATACACATAGTACATGGTCATAAAGTTGTGTTTTTCTGTTCACATACCTTTTTTATTCGGGCTTGTTATTAATAAGCAAGATAACCTTTTTTCCCCATTGAATGTCAGTCCCATTAATCAAATGCCGATGCAACAAACATTATCAGTCCTAGTTTTCATGCCGTTTTTCATCTTCATCATTCTTAAATTTTGCATGTACTGTATTGAATTTTACTATTTCCAGTGCCTTACAAGTTTGAGATTTCTGTGATAATGACGTTTGTGAGGATGTGACCTTTGTATTGTGCCTCTCTTAAAAGAAAGTGCAATTATTTTGCCCCAATTACAATGTTTCCTAGTTGTGTCCTTTTTTAAAAGGTAAAGACTGAATGTACAGCCATGCTTTTACAGTGCAGTATGACTTTATCAGAAGATAAAAGTTATTTAGTTTTTCTTCTTGGTCAATGACTATAATAAGAGCACAAAGTTTTTCATTTGGTGCATTCTAATTTGCACGTATTATGCCAAAGTAATTAACTTGAATTGTTAGGTGGTCCGAAAAAATCTTTCATTGAAGGCTTGCCTTGAATGTTTCCATGTCAACTGTTGACACTGTAATTCAGTTATTGCATGTATCCACCACAGATCTGGGTCCTTCTTCAATTCATATCTTACATGTTCTTCAGAGTTACATTGATGTTCACCTTCTGCATTGCATGTTTTTGCTACTATAATAAGTAGAAGACTGTGCACTTTACCAAAGGAACAGTAAATTCTGGATTCACATTTGGTTGGAGAGCCAACATTCTTTGCCAGTTAAATAAGGGCGCTTTGAGTTGAGCGGACAAACATGTTACACAATCAAATCTTTCATTGTGATTTTGACTGAATTGTTTTTATCAAGTTCTATCCCCTCCTCCCTCTGGGAAGTGTTTGTAGGCCTTTTTATTGGCTGTGGTTGTTGGGTTGTAAATTCTAATAATTGTTACAGATATTGGCTAAGTGTAGTACTGTAATTTTATTAAAGAACAAACTTTTAGTTGAAGTCATGTACTGAATCTTTAAGAGAATTCTTTAGATGCTTTAACAATCCTATTTCCGTTTACTTTAGTAGATCTGTTTGTAGTTTGTTGCAAAATTCTTGTTATTTGAAAATTGTGAATAAACTATCATTCCTCTTGATTTCCATTCTCTTGATCAACATGCACAGCTCACATAATACTTTCATTGGTACATAATTAATTAGTGATTTTACATTTGTATTGCTATGTTGTGTCTGATTGGCTGCAACCCATTCTACAAACTTTTTGAATCAGGAAATTTGGCTTTGACGTGTTGTACATTACAATACTACGTATTTAGAATGGCTTGAATCAGAAGATAAACTTAACATAAAATTCTAAGATATTGGTATTTATTAGACTTCATTGTTAAACAATTTGTTAGTACATAAAGTTTATTCAAACTCAGGTGTAAATCAAGGATTACAAAGGGAAAAAAAAGAGAGGCACAACTTCAGAGACTAGCAGAGAGCACAAACACCAGAGAGCTATTCATAAATACATAAAGATACAACTAACAAAATGTCATGCAATCTACTGGTTTTACATTTAAGAAACATAAAATAAGTCAGTTTTATGACAAGGTATACTGGAAAATAACAGACTTCAACTCACATGTGCATAATCAGAAGATGGGATTGAAGAATACTTTTTTCCAGCATGTATGTCATTATAGAAATAAAGCCGCATGCTTGAAGGTAAATCAACTTAAGCATACATAGAGAGACTTAATAGTTATTCCACAACAGGTGGATAATAATAAAGCTATCAGAGCAGCAGTTATAATGTAAAAGAATGGACTAAATACAACTTCCATAACTCCAAAGGCCAAAGACAAAATTGTCATAAAGAGAGAAATCAGGAATCACAGAATATTTTTTTCCCAAAGCTGGTGGTAGGTTTTATCAACCTCTTTAAACTAAATAGAGAGATTCATAACTTTATACAGGAGATTCATTTATTTGAGAAAGAAATGTCTATCTTCACACTACATTTTTATTGCAACAATTATAGAGAGCAGTTTAAACTAAAACCCATGAGAAGGATTACCAGATCAAAAGAATAAAAGATCACAATGTTTGCCATTTTGTTCCATGAATACGGCAAAATAAAATGTGTTAGTCTTCCTGAGCCTGCTTTTACTGGTCTCAAAAGAGGACAGGAACAGAAAAATAAACATGGAATTTCAATACTGTGTGGCAGGTTAACACTCGAAGTTAAGCGATTAGTTGAAGTGTAAAAATACTTAAGAATGGTTAACTCCTAAACGTAAAATTGTTCCAAAAATAGAATATTATTAAGTTTTAAATCATTTACAGTGTGATGTGGTAGAAAATGATTGAAAAGTTGCTATGATCAAACCCTTTGGGTTGGTGGAGTAGCAAAAAACCTTTTCTTTCCTCGCACAGATCTGTGGACGGAAAAAAAAGAAAAAACAGTAAGAAGATGAAACTTGAATGTGTGATTGATAAAGGCCAACATTGAGCCATCAGATATTTGAAACCTTACCTTGGTGTAGTTCCCAAGAAATTACGAGCACCATTGAGAAGAGAACTTGTAGATGGGGTATGTGAAAGACCAGAGGGATCCCTGTTTTCACTTCCGGAGGGGTGAGCAAAATTTGCCCAGTAATCAGCTGGCAGCCTCATCAGCTGATCCACAACCTAAAAATGGAAAAAACATAAAGTAATGTTAGCATGTGAATTTTATGATTAGAGGTTGACCATAAACATATGTACCAGTAAATAAGAAAAAAATATCTCACCATTGCTTGCTTCTTTGTTTCATACAATAGAACTTCAGGTTCAAGATCAGAAGATGAATATCCCAAAATTGTGGGGCCAAATATTTTAGAGAGATTGCCTATGGGCATTTTGCATTCTGGGCATTCTGCTACACTAGAATCACAAAATAACATTTAATACTTGAGATGCTAATATCGTTGAAAAAGAAACTCAAATACTTCAAATACAAAATATGGTGAAATGCATACTGTTGCAAGTGAAGGATGAGCGCAGCAAGAGTATCACGGTTGGGCTGAGGTAGTTCAGACACAGCTTGGTACAGAGCTGCTTGAGCATCTTCGGAATCAGGAATTTCTGTTGCTTGAACAAAGTCATGCCAATATGTTTTCAAAATCAACGGTTCTCGCAGTGAGCGAAGGAAATCTTTCACAGTTCCACACAAAACATGAACATCCACGTTGGATAAATTAGGTGCACCTTTACCACGCAGGAAGCTTTCCTAAAGTTAAAATTGCAGTGTTAGAATTAAATAAAGATGTTGAAAGGGATGAAAGGAAGTATGAGAGATTGCATACCTTAAGTGCTTTAACATCTCTATCAGCACCAGGCACACGGTAAATACCAACTTCATTGAGCCCACGACTTTCAATTTCCCTGATGCAATGAACAATAAGAGAGGGCACCATAGGACTTGACATTGGAGTGTAGTCAGCAATAGTTCCCTGCAGAAGAAAATGAATATTACTGACTGCTCAAATAGTTCATTCAAGTAGAGGTCTTGGGAACAACACAGTCAATATTTAGCCTCAAAGCTAACTAATTTGACTATATCTAACACTTAGAAAAAATCATTACCATTGTTCCTTTGACAGCTGGCGTGTTGCCAACAGGAATGCAAGGAAGAGGCAGCAGTCCCTCACAATCCTTATGGCAGAGGGCACGACAATCCTGACATTTGCTGTGTTGTCTTCCAAACATTAGCCTGTAAGATTTCCTCAGTTAACACCAACCAGAAGAACCTCAAAATTTATAATCTGCACACCATTCAAACTCTTACCTCTTATTGCAGTAATTGCACTGTTCATTGCAAATGATAGTTTTCTGAACAAAAGTATGGGGGCGAATATTCATATTTTTTCTGCCCATTCCATAGCTTGGACTGACGTCCAAGGTAGATCTACTGACAGATGTAGGTGCCAGAGACACTTTTACATTTCGTGGAGTTGTCCAGTTGTTGTTATTGGGACTGCTATCAGAGTTTGTGGAATCTGTCACAACTAAGAAATAGCAGGGTCAGTGTCCAATCATTTGTGTTGATAACAAATCCATTTTTTAGTTTAAGGAGCTTCAGATTACTAAAGAAGAATCCTTGCAAGTTGGAGAATCAATTGCCGCACCCAAAAGCTCCCATTAAATTATAAAAAAAAAAAGAAAAAAAAAGAGGCAATATGTTTTGTTTAACATCCCAGTACAGTACGTGCTATTGCCTACCAGCACAACTGAAAGTTAAAGAAATGTTTACACTGTCCCACTGGCCTTACGGTGATATTTGAAAGAGCAAAAATCACCAAGATTACAATGGGAGGGAGCAGGAATTTGGGCCGAGTCAGGGCAAAGGACTGCAATCCAACAAGAGCTCATCATGCATTACTCATCACCAGCTCCAATACATCAGAACCCTTCAAGAATAAATTTGAAATCTTACTTGAAATTGGTGGAGCAGATGGAAAGAGTTCTGGCACTGTTTTAGATTTCCCAGAAGGTTTGGCTTCAATCTTAGAGTGAGCAGTAATGTTACCTTCTCTTCGCACGGTCACTGTGGTAGTGGCAACCAATCTGTCTTCTGAGGTCACCTCAGACTTGTGAACCTATAGAAACATTGAGTTGAGGAGTCAGTCAACCAATACATAAACCAGATGTGTTGTTATGGAAAATAGACATACCTCCATACTTCTCCGGATATTAGATCTCCTCCTCTTTGGGCTGGGTGCACTATCATCAGGTGCAGGGTGACACTTCTTAAAATCTCTTCGGGAATCGAGGAATGAGGCACTAATATCCAAGTCATCCTCAGAACGGGAATAACTTAACTCTGACATCAGGGATCCTAGAATAGGTTGGATATTTTTATAATGACTGATGTTTGGAAAATAAAACTGTAAACCATAAAAAGTTAGCATTCTTGCCTGTGGAGTCCAGCTCGGCGATTGGGTCCAACCGATCAGTAAGGGAATGAGGAAGACCATTACGGTTGGCTTTGTCAATAGTTTGATTAATGTGAGATAATTTGTCTTTGGCATCCTCATTCAATTTGTTTCTTGGATCTTGGAGAACATCTCTAATAATGCCTAGTTGCACTTCCTGCAAATAATTATACTATACTGAGCAAAAATACTAAAGTAGAAAAGCATAGGAGTAAAATTAATCTACCTACCAATGCCCGCCTTTCACGCTCAGCAGCTGCACGAGCCTTTTGCTCTGTATCAAGAATTTTTCTTGACTGTGTCAACTGACTTACAAGTAATGAGGAATTGTGCTGACTTTGATCTAAAGCAGTTTTTAGGCGCTTACATTCTGTAACAGCTTCAGACCACTGCATCCACAATTGCTCGACATTCGGAATAAATTTAAGGAATGCTAAAATTAAAATTATACATTGATTAAAGAAAATATTGAAGAAGAACGTCACAAGTAATAGTGAAGTTCCAAACAAACCTGATTCACATTGTGCATCCGCAGTAGTAACCAGAGAATTCGTATACCGGTGGAGATCGTCCAAAGAGGCAAGTAACGAGAGCTTGAGTTGCGCCATGATAATAAATACACAAGCTACATGCCTGAGAGAGATGGAAGAAAATTGTTATCAGAAAACTTGTAACTTTGAATTTTAAAAGAAAGCAAGAAAGCTCGAAACATTTCCAGAGAAATGCACATCAACAGTAACCATTCTCAGACTCTAACCTAATCGCAACGGCATTATTCTCAATTGTAATTATTTCGAGTACACGCCACAGAAAGACGCGTGAACAACTCCCAAAACGATAAACTAGATAATAAACACAATATATATAGAAACTTACCGCAAAACAATCAAATATTAAGGTCCATCTGCGATTTGTCAACACTTGCTTGCCCCTCGTATGCTTGCTTAATCCATAACGGACAAATTTCAAACAGGGACCCGCTGACGCACAGAAAAAAAAGAAAACGAAACAACCACCAATCACAGCCACGGAGCTCATCACGTGATGCAAGCGGATCCAAATGGCCGTGGCTGCCAAAAGCTTCAAGATGGCGGTGTGTGGTGGCGGCAAACGCGTTCCGTTTGGCGCGGAGATACAAAACTCGACGGGCTCGAGGACAACACGCAACAAGTGACTGGCATTTATCTCCGCTTTGGTCGTTGCCGATCCCACAGCGAAGCGATACCCCGTCTGGTGACACGGAGTCGCGCAATTCGATATTTTTGACGTTTTGACACATTCTCTCGATGAAAGTCAACCGCCTCGCAGCACGGGTGTCCTCCCTTTAGTTGAAAATCAATCTGCGTGCCGACCCTGGAGACCGTCGTCCACCGCATATCGTGCGACCAGCATGCAACCTCCTCCAATCTTACATCAGACCAGGTGCGGGTATAACACCGAACGAACAGTGTGGATATGTCGGACAGTAACTTGAGCCCGAAGTACGGATAGCTTGGACTGCTTTAAAAATCAGGCGAGCACGCTTTATTTGAATTTATTTGTTTTGCGGTAATCGCTTTCGTGTCCTGACTTCGGGTGCGCGCGCACTGACCGCGGCCCAACAAGCCCTGCCTC